GTGTCATGCTCTTCAGTAGCTTGCCTGAAAACCTCCTTTCTTTGTTTTGAGAAGTTTTCAGAACCTAATCTCATTCCATTCAGTGCTCTGTGGCTCCCCCAAGTCCTGGGGTGGTAGGGACTCAGTTCCTGAATGTGCTGTGCAGACACTGGGCGCTAGGTGATTCTGGATTCATGAGTTGGCAGGGGATCTGCCCCATGCTGAGCAGCAGTTCAGAGAACTTCCCTTTCCTCCCTCTGTGCTTCCTTGCTCTCTGCTGACTGAATGGCCGCAGTCATTCACTGCTACTCTTGCTTTAATTAATTCCTTCCCTACCTACACTGGTCCGACCTGTTTGAGAATAAAAATTCTAGTTCAGAGTCAAGAACCCTCCCCATTCCAGGTTGAGGTTTTACCCGGCACGCAGGGAGAGACCTCCCCAGATGCAGCTGTCCAGCAACCATGTAACTGACAGACTGGCCTCTCTCCCACCAGCCCCCAGGTCACAGGGTTCATAGAGATCAGAGAGAGTTGCCGCCTGGTGGCTGAAGGTCCTTGTGGTTTGAGTTTAGGGTTAACTGAGTAGGCAAAGGGAGTTGGCAAAGGCTTTTAATGTGGAGAGTGATTTTGGAAAAAACAAAAAAAGGTGTTTTAAAGAATAATTTGCTGAGAGAGCAGGGTATATGGCAGAGACCTGAGGTTGAGGAAAGAGTGATCAGTTTGGGAAGTGGTAGTGTAGTTGTTAATGCCAAAGCTGGTAACAGTTAACTTTGTGTAATATGTTATAGCTAAACCTTTACTTAGATAGTTCCTTATTCATCCTTAAAATCCTACAGGATGGGTATTGTTCTCTCTTTGAATCTGGAATATCAAAGGTTTGTAGAGGCTGGTGATTCGCAGTTATTAAGAGACAAAGCAAGTGCTTTGATTTCATTCAATTCATTCATGCAATCTTATTTAATTCAAAACCTGTTTTCGAATCTGATAGGCCAGTGCTTCCATACCTTTGCATCCTGGTCCACAGAAAAGGATAATAATTGGATGGTGTTCCTGGGGTGAGGGGTGCTCCCTGGTATAGCCAATGGAGGTCACTCTCTGGCGGAGGGCATTATGCCCAAAGTCTTCTGCTAACATAATAACAACTGAATTTAGGGAGCATAAGAGGGAGACAAACAAATCAAATATAATTTTAGCTGAAGTAAGAATTTAAATGGTTGTGAAAACATGGTTTTGTATTGCTCTAAAAAATTTACAAAATTACAAAATTTACAACCATCAGCATCCCCTTAAACCATACAAAAGTGCTGAGACATACAAGCTGGGAAGCTCTAGGTGAGACCCTGACTATGAGCTGAGAATACAGAGATGGACGAGATAGAACCTCTACCCACAAGAACTAAGTCTAATAGGTGGAAACCAATTATTACAATGGAGTTTAATATATCTTTTGATCAAAGTGTATTTAAGGTGCACGTATTTCAGTGCACCTTATGGGTATGGGGTATGTACTAGCCATCTGTTTTTTTGTTTTTTTTTTTACAGAAGAAAGCACTTATTGGAGATTTAACATGAAAGCATGCAAATAAACTTTGTGTAAACACAAATCCTCCTCGAGTTGTAACACAGAGAGCAAAGTGAAAACAAAGAAAACTAATTGGCAGCTAGATCAGCAGGACACAGCTGTGTCTTATATGCAAGGAAGTCTTACAAAATAATCTTAGATCAGCCGAAGACCAGTCTTCAATATCATCTGGCAATGTAGGTTACCTTGACATCTCCTCATTTCTCCAGTGCCCCTCTTTATTACGGCTGAAAATTGTTTTGGTGACTGTGAGATGTTAACCATCGTGGTCTGCCTATCCCAGTCCAAATCCATAGTTCCTGTAGTAATACCACCATAGGCACTGTTGTAATTTCCATATCCTTGATCATAATTGTTATTAAATCCTTGTTTCCAGGTTTCACCCTGGCCTTAGCCATGGCCCTAGTACCACCTTGTCTCCAGCTGCAGCACCTCTTTCTCCTTGTTGCTGTTCTGCCTGCACACCTTTTTAGGTTGTGCACCTTTCATTTTACTCATCCCAGAACCAATCTGAGCACGTTTGCTTTCTAACAATTTCTTTACTGGCTCAGGTGTATGTGATCAAAAGAAATTCTCTCCTTCTATTTGTGTTTGTATCCATAAGTGTTCAATATTTTCAACCTCTCCAAAGGCTCCATAATGTTCTTTAATTTGCTGTCCAGAAGTGTCTGGGCTTACTCCACTCTCAAGTCTTTTGGAAAGTTCCTTCCCTTTGAGAGCTTTGGCCTCTTTGGGTCTCTCAATTTGTTATCCACTTTTGCTTCCAAAACTTTACACTAGCATCATCTTTGAAGAGCACAAATCCAAAAATCCTCTTGATCGTCCAGTGACTGGGTCTGTTTTAATTGTGCAATCTACAACTTCCCCAAATCGAGACAAATATTCAGTTAGATCTTTCCCATTTGCACCCCAGCTCAAGTCTCCAATAAACATTTTACTGTTATCCTGCTGATTCTTGCTTATGGTGCCCTTGGATCCCTCTGCGAATTCTTCTGTGTCACTACTTGTTCAAGTCCTTCCCGTGGCGGTGCTGGCGCTCAGTCTGGGTCCAGCCACCAGCAGGGGGCAGAGCACTCCATGGAGCTGGATTTGAAATGGCTGCACAAGAGCGCATTGTTTTAATTTTCTGATGCTTTGATTCCTGGGACCTTACTTACTCCGAAGGGACTGCCCCTCACAGGGTTCGCGGATTCCTAGAAATAGCAAACAGCTGGCCTGAGAACATGCCTGTCATATGCAAACCAACCGACCCAGAGCCCCTACCCCCAACCACCTGTGTGTTGGGCTTTATTCTCCAGGCTGCTGTCCACCTGCCCTAATCGGCCAAGGCCACACACCAGACAGCCAGGGGCAGCCCCTCTGCCCCGGGGTCCACTGAAATTATTCAGACTAGCCAACCATAAACCTACGTATCATGCTTTGCCTGCTCCTTCCTGTGGAAACTGCAGTGAAGCCTCTTGCCCCTGTGTCCCTCTCACTCCCTCTGCTCCTGGCTGACCTGGCTCTTCACTGTGTCAGCCCCAGCCCCAGTGGTATGGCGTAAACCCTCCTCTGGGAACTGTGAGTGTAACTGTTTTTTCAGTGAGAGTTGTCTCCTGCTCCATGGGCCTTGCAGTACCTAAAGAATAGTGAAACCTGTATTTTAAAACAGAGGCTGGTGTTCCATGTTGGTGTCTCTGGTTGTAGACACCAAAAAGGAGTTCGAGGTACAGATGTTTCTGGAATCCACACCTGTGGAGGAAAGGAAGGGAACTGATGGCAGGGGATGGAGGGGGCGGTGTAAGGCCTTCCGTGGTATTTAGAAGGGGGACTCAGCAGGATTTGAACCTGAGTCTTCTAACACAGCTCGAACTGATGGTTAGTTACCTTCTTAGGCCCAGACAAGAGGGGGCTCCTGCTCAGTGTCCTATGCTTTAGGGGCCCCACTCTAGTCTCACATCTGTGCCCCTCTGCATAGAGTGAAGGGACCGGGAGTCCAGTTTCCCTACCACTGGGGACAGCCTGTCTACAGAAGTGAAGAATGAATGAAAGAAACAGAAGCGGCAGGAGAGAGGAGCCTGAGCACCTCATCCGAGCCCCTCCTCATCCTGTCAGGCCCTTGACTCCACCCCCAGAACTCCCAGTTACGTAGCTAATAAATCCCGCCATTTTTGCTTACGGTGGTTTGAGGTAGATATATATTACTTATAATTAAAAGATTCCTGACTACTATTAACATAGTGCAAGATGTTGAAGCAGAGCCAGGAGATTTATTTCATTTTAATGCAGTCAGACAATGCATTGAAGCTGGAAGATGAGATTTTAAGAAATGAAAGCTGAGTCTCTTTAATGTAGAAACCAGGCTGCGTTCGCCTTTATATCCTGGCACTTGTTACCACAGCCTGGCTCAGAAGGTAGTAAATGCTCCTAGGTAGAGCATGTCCTAGAGGACAGTGGTAAACTCTTGGTCAGGAAAAGTTAAATGGGCATGTTTGGTTGTGAGAGCCCCCCCTGGACAGGAAGTGCTTACCAAAGAAGTCAGCCTGCACTGGGTCAGACAACACGGGAAGCCAGCAGTGCGTTGACGTGGGAGACTGTGGAAGCCGGAGGCAGGGTCACACTTCTGAGGAGGAAAATCAGCAGGTAGGAGGGATGCTGAGGAACATGAGGGCGGAGATGTCCAGTATCCCATTTTCACTTCTTTTCTGGGCTGTGAGGTAATTCCGCTTTATGATCCAGAACCTTCAGGAGCAGTCTGCACACCTGCCTTGCCCTGGTGCTTTGCCCACGACAGGGGTGGGCCCAGACCTGGTCCTGCACACCCTGGAGGGAAGAGAACAGCTGTGGGAGGACAGATGTAAGCCGAGGCAAGAATGCAGCTGGCACCTCCCCGCTCCTGCCCCTGTGTGAAGGGGACCAGCAGGCTCTCTGTGGTGGGGAAGAGCTGCTGAGATTCAGACAAGGTCTGTGAGTGGAGGAGTCCTGATTCCAGCTCAGAGATTTGGGAGTTTAGGGAAAGGGCCCTTGGCCTTTGAGTCTTTGTAGGACTGGGTAGGGGTTGGCGGTGAGGACAGAGAAAAACGATGGTCAAGACCACAGTCACCTTGTACTTTGCTTACGGCGGCCCCGTAAGCCTCCCCTCCCAAAGCCATGGTAACCTCTATTCTACTTTCTGTCTCTATGAATATGCCTATTCTAGGTTCTGTGTATAAATGGAATTACCCAGTATTTGCCCTCTTGTGCCTGACTTATTTCGCTCAGCATAATGTTTTCAAGGCTTATCCGTGTCGTCGCGTGTCGGAACTTCTCCCTTTTTATCCACTGCATGCATTTGCCAGCTTCTTGCTGCTTCTCATTTTGGCCACCAGAGGGCAGTGCAGGCGCGTCACAGCTAAAGGAACAGCAGTCCTGGCTGACGTCTAAGTGCTCAAGAACAGAGCCGGTGGGGCTGCTCCCAGGGTTCTCCTCTCTCCCGGGCCAGGGGGATGGATGTTTTGAGACGCACAGCGGCCACGTACTACTGCAGACTTGAGATGTAGGCCGAGTGCTGGTCTCTGACGTCTGGTGGGATCTGGCCTCTAGCAGCAGGTTGGCCGAGGCACGTCCTGGGTCCAGGCTCTGTGCCTGTGGGTGACCTTGAGGAGGCTGGGGAAGAGCTGTGTCCCCTTCCAGCCACTTCCTACTTCAGTGGCCTTGGCCTGGGATTTCCAGAAGGAGTTGCTCGATCTGTTTTGCTCCCAGGAAGGCTCTCTTCACCGTCTTCCTCTCCACAACAAGAATAACAAGAGCTTTTACAATTGATGTTATTTCTTCATTGTTATTTATATTTTAAAAAAGAAAATCATGCTCACAGAATCATGTTTACCAGCTTCATTTTAGGTATGAGGAGCCTGAGGGTCAGATGTGTGAAGCACGATTCCAGGGGCACTCAAACCGGTAAGTGTTGAGCTACTTACAACCGAATACCTCTGATTTCAAAGCTTGGGATTTTTTTCCATTCTTCTAAACTTTCATGATGTCTACAGACTCTTTAAGTTTAGACCCGTATATGTGGTTCTTCATTCTATGCCTCTGCTGGCCTCTCATAGGTGCATCACTCCCTACCTCACACTGTATATTTTAGCCACTTCAAACCACTTACATTTCCACAACAGGCCGGGCTACACGTTCTTTCTTTCCTCCACGCCGTGGGGCATGCTTTTCTTCCTGCCTTGAATTCTCTCTTCTTCCTCCTGATGAAGTGATGTTTATTCACTCAGAGTGAGCTAAGGAGTCACTGGGACTGGGAAGCCTTCCACGACCTACGACCGCCATCCTTTCCCGAGACCACCCCCTGCCTCCCGGCTGACCTCTCCATTCTCCAGTCTTACCTCCAAGTCTTTCTTTAGCTCTCCAGGGCTTATCTTTCTCCTAACATTTATTCTCCTCAAAATGATTTTTCTGTTGACTTGTCAGCAACTCCCACTAAAGTTAAGCTCTTGGGGGATGTTTAATTTCTTTGACTCCCGGGGTCTGGGGCCAGCCTGCGGTGGTGTGCAGGGAGGCGGGGAGGAGCCTGTGCTGGATGCAATGGGGGACAGGCTGTGTGGATGCCATGCCAGGAATTTCAGGGTCTTACGACCCAGGCTTTGCTGCTGGCGGAGCTGGGCAGGGACTCGCAGCCAGGGAAGGCTGGGTTTTGTATCAAACCAGCTCTGCATATTTGGTAGCTGTGGTCGCTGCTCCGCCCAGGAAATGGGCCTGTTTTTCTGACCCCATCTCTGCCCAGAAGCTGCAAGGAAATCAAAGACAAGCACCGAAGCACATGCGGTGATGCTGGGGCACTAAACAGAGCCCGGCCAGGACAATCAGGGTTTTAAAAAAAAATTACGGTAAAATATATGTAACATGAACTTGCCGTTTTAATAATTTTTAAGCGTACAATTTCAGTGGTATTAATTACCCTCACAGTGTTGTGCAACCATCACCACTGTTTCTTTCCAGAATATTCATCACCACAAACAGAAACTTTGAGCTCGTTAAGCAATAACTCTGCACGCCTCCCCTCCCCCAGCCATGGTAGCCTTTATTCTAGTTTCTGTCTCTATGAATATGCCTATTCTAGGTTCTGTGTATAAATGGAATCACCCAGTATTTGCCCTCTTGGGCCTGACTTACTTCGCTCAGCATAATGTTTTCAAGGCTTATCCGTGTGGTCGCGTGTCGGAACTTCTCCCTTTTTATCCACTGCATGCATTTGCCACATGTTACTTATTCATTCATCAGTTGATGGACATGGGTTGTTTTCACCTTTTGGCTTTTGCGAATAATGCTACATTGGACATTGTTGTACAAGTATTGAGTCTTTGCTTTTGATTCCTTTGGGAATAACGTAGGGGTGCAGTTGCCGGGCCATGTGATAATCCAATGCTTACACTTTGGGGAATTTCCCTGGAAGCTTTGATAATGCAATGGTCTGCCTCAGTTACAAGACATAATCTTCTGAATCTGGGGAGAGTCCCGTGCCTCTGGGGACACTCAGGGATGAGACGAGAGAGACAGAGCGAGCCAGTGTCCTGTCCAAGACACTCAGCTCCTGATTGTCATCAGCAAAAGGAAAGATTCTTATTTTGACTGGTTTTGAAATAATCTTGGTTACTGAGAAAGCATTGTTCCCCTTCTGCAAACGGCAGCATCTTTGAGAGAGGTGAAGCTATTGTTGCTCCTCAGTAATTCCTTTCTGTTCCTTGTGGAAATTCCCAGTGAGATATGGAGAAGGAAAGTGTGGGGCTGACAATGGCCTGCCCACCCCTGTGGTCCAGGAGTGTGGTGCAGCCCAGGAGACAGCATCTTATTATTCGCTGCCCGGCCAGATTGAGTCTCTGATGCTCCTTTGAACTCTTAGTAGGAATGGTGAAAATTAAGATATGATAGGTGATGTTATTTTCACTTACTGCTGCCTGGTTCTCTCCCGGGAATGTTAACGTGTACCGTCCCACTTAACTGCATGGCTGCCCTTGAGGTCTAAACTCTTACCAACACTCTGTTTTACGGATCAGAACTCTCAAGCACCGTGGGGTTCAAAAACTTGCCGGGGTCACAGGGCACATGCAGGAGATGCAGCATCTGGGCTGGGGAAATGTGGCCCCAGATTCTTTCCTCCTGACAACCTCACTGTCAGCCCCTCCATAACGTGTTAGGACCAGGCCAGGTTCGTGTGCACGGGGCAGAATAGCTAACACAACGCTGATGTGGTTTTATTTCTGTACTGAGGGGTGACTGTGAGTTTATTTTCTGTGATTCTAAAGTTGCCAGCATAATAACCTTAAGAGAGGCTGAGCCTATGAGACAAAAGTCAACGCTGTTTGAAACTTTAAAGGAGAACAAGAAGAGTGTGAACAGGAAGAGAGTGCGTAGGGCTGCCTGCGCCGTGCTGGGCTCTGAGGTGCTCGGCGGCCATCTTCCTGCAAGCTTCTGACGGGGAGGAGCCCTCTCCGAGGATCTTGGGCTCTGGGTTGGGAAAAGGACCCTCTTGACTGAGTTTGGGGCTGAGGTGCACCAGCCTCACTTGCCCACAGAGGTGCTGGTCTCCGCCAGTGCAGTCTGGGGGGCGGGGCTGCTTGGGCTTGTCTAGGGAGGCTATTTCTAGCATCTTCCTTGAATGCTGTTTTCTGCCTCTTGTTTTCAGAGGGATTCACTGGGGATTTGTCCAGTTCTGGGTGTTTACTAATGAGAAAGCAGCCAGCGCTTCGCGTGCTGGAGTGAGAGTCCCTGGATGTAACGGAGCACATGAATCCTCGTGGGGAGCAAGAGGGCGCATGCGTAAGGCCGTCAGCGCGCGCACGCGTGTGGGAATGTGACCTTTCTTCACCCCTTCCTGAGTCTCAGCGGCCACAGCTGTGGGACCCTCTGTCCCGGTCCACACATCCTCTGCCTTTAAAGATCAGACTGCAAGGGCTGGGGCTTCGAAAGCACCATTGCTGGGTGCTTAGCCCCAGGGGTAAAACTCTCATTTCTCTGGAGGTGGGTGAGGCTTGTGCGCAGAAACATCCTGTGCAAGCTGTTTGAAACTGAAAACTGTGAGAGACACAAGGTGTGGTCATTCTCCATCTGAGGCTCAGCTTCTCAGAGTGAAACTTGGCGTCCCCAGCCCTGGCCAAGATGCACACTGCTGGGGGGTCCCGGGAGAATCCTGGACACCCAGTTGGACCCTCACGCAGGCCGCCCCTCGGCGCCTGGGGCACACTCTCTGGCTGACCCCCAGGGCAGGCGGGCTCACCTCTCGCCTGCAGCAACCTGATGTTCCCTCCAGCTAGGGATAGCAACATCCCTGTGGTTTCCCGCCTCTCAGGGGTGTGGCCAGAGGCAGGGTGACAGGGGGACCCACAGGCTGCCCAGATTTAGAGCTGTCATGGGTGCACCTGTCCACTCAAGACCCAACCCTCTCCAAATTAGCAGCCTGAGACAAGTGTCCTTAGCTGCTGGCAGGTGGCCCTGAGGAAGCTATCTTCTGCCCTTTGCCATCAGCTTGTCCCTTTTCCAGGCTGGATTAGGCAGATTTGCTGTCAGGGAGGACCTGGAATCTGAAGGGAGAATGAGGAGTGTGAGGGCATCAAGGGGAAGGTCACCGGGCATTCCTTCTCTTTGGGATTACCTGGCACCCATGGCTCCTTCCGGCCACGGGCCAGAGCATGTGTGCCATCGTGTGCCCCATGCCTGTGTGCACCAGACAAGGCGTGCAGTCAGCGCCTATGCTGTGGCATGTTTCCTGCTCAGCATCCAGCAGGACAGACGGTCACACAAACACGTCAGTATAATCTGATGGTCCCAAGATATATAGAAATATTAGTGAGGGGCTCCATGGGCCCCTAACTCAGCTGGGGTGTCAGGGGTGGTGACTGAAGGAAAGGTAACTTCTGAGCTGGGTCTTGAGAGATGTATAGAAGTTCATGGTGTCTAAGTGCACTTCAGGCTGAGTGAATAGCGAGTGAGAAGCATGGATGTTTGAGAGGAGCCTGTCACGTGAAGGGAGCAGCAAGCTCTTCTGTAATTTTGGGGCACGGGGTGTGTTGGGGAGGTGCAGGAGTCGATGCTGGACCCAGGAGCAGGATCCTCACTGTGGAGGGACATTTACCTCGTGCCAGTGGTAGGGACCTTGTGTTGTGGGCGATGGGGGCATTCAAACGTTTGAAAGGGAAGACGGACCTCTTCACCTTTGTGTTCTACAAGGATCAGGCTGGTAGCACAGTGGTGACAGATTTTCGTGGGGTGAGACGAGGGACAAAGAAACCAGTATTGAGGAAGGCCCAATGGCCTGGCCCAGATGCAGACCTGATGAGGGTAGTGCCCTGGGGGATGGACTGCCGTGCTGATCAAATCCAAAGGCTTGAAATTTATGGCCCCTGGAACACACAAGGTGGGAAGGGAAGTTTGGAAAGACTTTATGGTTCATTTGGGTGCCCGAATGTCATTTCTCAAGTCAAGATGTCTGGACGACGAAGTGGCTTGGGGTCCACGAAGGCACAGAATTAGCTCTTTTGTCCTGTGGAGCTTGGGGTGCCTGTGTAGACATCTACATCTAGGCGGCAGGCGGACTGTGGGGTCTTCAGCCCCAGAAGCATCTGGAGAGAGAGAGTTGGGGGCCCTCAGGGAATTATGGGCAGCTGAAGGGCAATCTGTACGGGAGAGGGCGATGCCTCCCCTCCTGGTGGGCGGGATCATGAAGGAAGAGTGTAGCCTAGGAACCTGGGAATGAACGCGCAGAGAAGTCCAGGGGAAGTCAGAAGACAATGATGTCAGGAAAGCTAAAGGAAGTGACGTTTTCAATGTGAGGAACAGATCCACACAGCCCAGGCAAGTCTGCTGAGGAGCAGATGCCACTGGATCTGGCCACGAAGGTGCCACTGGCCTGACCAGCAGCTCCCTCACTTCCGTGCCTTCTTCTCCTTGTTTCCCAG